AAGATAATTAATGTGCATATGAAAATTCCACAATGTAAGGTTAGTTTTTTTAGGGTTCTATTGTCTGGGTTTTTTTTTTTTTTTTTTTTAACAATATGTCTTTCTGTATTGTTTTTTGCTTTTCTTTTTTCAAAACAATAAGACTGTTCAATCACATAATTGGTGTTCACTCCAGCTTGAAACTAATGAAAAATACTACACTAACAATTTATATGGTACAAATTCAGACTTGTCCATTTCTAGAATTTTCATAGAGGCAAAGCATTAATTTTACTCAATATTTAGTATTGGCTTGGTGCCTGGCATTTTGCTAGGAGATAGGGGAAATACAAAATATAGTATGACATATATACTGCCCTCCAGAAAGTTACATCCAAGCATACAGGAGTTAATTTAATACCTATGCAAGGTACGACTGGCGCTTTAGCGTCCAAGTATATGCTATTATCATTAAGGGTTAGATAATTAGAAAAGATCAAGATCACAAACGGCTGAAGCAGGCAGGAAAGAAATTTGGCAGACAGATAGGAAACCAGCAAGAGCAAACAACTTTTCTGTGTACCAGATACCCTAAGAAGCACTTTTCAAAAAGAACTCCTTTAAACTTCATAACAACCCCTTGGGAGTGGTACTATTATCTCCATTTTGCAGGCACAGAAATTGAGACTTAGTGATATTAACCAATTCATCCAGGACTGCATAGCCTAGGAGGCTGATGCACGTATGCAGGAGACTGCACGTGAGTTAATTCCTCAAAGAAAGGGAGGTCTTGGGGAGGTGGAGGAAGAGGGACATGGTAGGAGTGCTGGGGAAGAGAGAACAGTGAGTGTAAAGGCCCGGGAATAGGAATAAGGAGACTTCTATCTCCTTTCCTGGGAAGAAGTGGTAAAGTTTGACATGTTAAGTCAGGCTCTGAACAGGCCATATAGTTTGTATCTGGGTATCTTCTTACTAGCCACACAAAGTAAAAGTTTCAAACATAGTAAAAGTTTAGGTGTCCTGTAAAATATAGACACTTTAGTCTCAATTCTTCTCTATGAGCTCTTTGATAGGAAGTGTTAGAAATTGCTATACTTTTTAGAGGTATGTTAATTTTCTTGTTTTAAATCAAGATATTACAAAGTAAAATTAATAAGACAGCCATTCTCTTTCACGCTCTACAAAATCCAAGTTAAGTTATACACATTTATCCCCTGCAACAAATGCTGCATGTTTCATTTTCATGATGGCAAAGCAAGTCTATGGTTTTATATCTCAAGGCTTCATCATAAAATACTCAGCCATCCGGCACCAAGAATGGAACAACAACAGCAACAACAACAAAACCCAAGTCATTAAAACCATACTTGAAAGTTTTCTAAATGGTGTTCTATGGCTGTCTGTAGAAGAAACTTGCAAAGTACAGAATGTTATAAACTTGTATAATGTATTTTTCTGCTTCATTTACACCCTGTGGAATCACACTATCTATCACATTTCATCCAGGAAAAAGACAAAGCGGTTGAGGCTATTATCTATTCCAGTATACAATCTAAGGGTGTTCTTACCTCACAGTTGCTGAGATCCAGAGAAACCCCCTTCAAGTTATGATTACAAGCCAGGCCCAATAACAGTGCTCTGAGGGGAGGAAACACATATATTAGATACACATTCCACACATTGCCCAAAAGAAAAAATGTAAGCACACTGAAGAAAGTCTAGAGAAAGCAGACTGCCTTTTCTGAATCACAGGTCAAGCACCAAGCACCCTCTTACTTTTTAAAATGCCAACTGCATTTCTGCCTCACAACAACAGTGAAAGACTGACTCTGCAGCATTCTTTTGCCTGACAGGCAGTGAGCCCATCATAAATGTAAAACCTGGCAGGATTGCTATTCCTATGCAAATAAACCAACAGCACACCTCTAATTGCATATTGAAATTAAATTGTGCTCATCACAGATAAATTCCCACCTGCATCTGCTTGAGAAGAGCTTTAATAATGTTTAGAATATTATTAAGCAATTGTTTATTAGAGTTGCAAAGTAAAGCTAGTTTTCCCTAAGGAACATGTAAGTGAGGAAGTCAGGCTCCATACTATACCAAGATGTGAAATTACATCTAGATGACTTTATTAAATGACCTACAGTAGCAGGTGGGCAAGGGTATAAAACAAAGCACATGTCTTGAATCGCAGTCCAGGATCCTGCCTGTCCAACTACCTGCTGAGCCGGGACAAATCATATATCACTGCTCTGAAAAGGAATTTTCTCATCTGCAAATTGAGGAGATTAGACTAATCACTTGGATCCACTCTGACAAGTCAGTCCTATAAAATCCAACACCATCAAGCAAGCTTGAAACAGAAAATTCACACATGCACACACAATCACTAAATTATACTAAGTGGACAGAAGACCCTAAATCAGACTTTGTGAAAAACACAGAAAGATGGTTCCTGCTCTCAAGCAAGGAAAACAGATAGGTATGCCAATAACTCTAACACAAGGCTGCCAGTGGTAAGTACTAGAAGAGTGGAACCCAGGTATTTATTAACTGGGGGTGACTACCTGTTTTCCATGTTGCCAGGAAAAGGACCTCTACTCAGCATACCCCAAAAATACCCTAGGGTAAGGGTGAGGTGGGAAGGTAGGGAATTATTTTATGCCCAAGTCTCTGAGATTTTCTTTTCTAGTGATTCTCTGGCTTTACCTACTAAGAGAGAACCCAGCAGTGGCATGGAACACACAGGGGCTTGGCTGCCTCCAGCTATGAAAACCCACCTCCTCCCGCTCCCTGACCCTGTTGGGAGGCTGGAAGTAAGTGCCTTCCTTTTCACTTTTTAAATTCAGTTCACTAGTCCCTTATTCTAAAACACTGTCCTATGAGAAAGGCTGGGTATATCTCATCTATGTACTTGCTCAAATACTTATTAAATTGCTTCCCTTTCCTAAAAATTACTTATGTGCCCTTTCTTTCATGGGGGCAGTATTGAGTCACTGAAAGCGCTGGAGGCTGAAAACCAAAAGGCCAGTCCTCATGTCCCAGCTCAGCGGCAACTGGTTGAATGACCTTAAGCACATCACTTTTTGTGTGTGTCTTAAGTTCTCAGCAGTAAAATGAGAGAGTTAGGATATTACCAAAGAGGCCCCTTTTATTTCCAATATATGCTGAGTTTCTAGGACTTAGACACATATTTCAACGTTGTATTTTTATGACGCTTAGACGGAAGGAAAATACTTCCTACTTTTCTCACATGTGAATTAAGGCCAAGAAAACAAATGATATGCTTTAAGGCATTTAACTACAGAAGGCCAATGATTAGGAGGCAACAACTCATGAGACTAGTGAAAATAAATAACCCATAGAAACTGTCCCTAGTAAAATAAAAGAATAAATACAATAAAGCATACTGGGCACTGGGGAAAAATTCTATAGCAAAATATGATGTTTATTTTAACCTAATGATGGCAAAATTGCCTTAACAATCATCTTCTAGATCCCCAATCCCTATTGTAAAATTGCTTAAGAGAACAATTTGAATTTAATTCTTCCAGCTCTAGATCAGTGGCACTAGTTATAATTTCAGGGTAGCACATTCAACAGGTTTATGAAAAATACTCAGCCAGAGAGATGGGGTCAAAGAGAATGGGTGCCACATGGCAGGGAGAAAGGGGATGTCCAGGAAGAAAGACTTGAGGGAGGGAAAACGAAAGACCAAGAATGAGCAGTAAGCAGGAACTCACACTGCACTCTGAGTGATGCTGGAGCAACGAACATCCTTGTGACACACATGGACCAGATTATTCTAGCAATTTTAGAAAACATCAAGGAACAGCGTCACCATGTTCTCTAACCTCCCTTGAAATACATTAACATGGACCAAAAAAGGCCTCAAAGGAAAATCACAACAATAAAGTAAGCAGTCATATTCTTTGTCTTCCTTCCCACCTCCACCTCCCACAAGACACTCTACTTCCCCAATTTCCTTGTAAAAGAATCTCAAATTAAGTGGGAAACTTGCGGGGAAAAATATTGTTATGTCCAAACTTAAAGCGTTCTCTCAAAAGTAATTGTGTTGTTTTAGTTTATTCTCTCACTGCTACTAATCCCAAACCCTTAGAGAAACAAGGGTTTCTGCCCCTCTTGGTGCAGTTGAAGGCGGAATGAGGTAGGGAACACTGCTGAGCCCATGACAGCTGGTTGAGAGCAGCAGACACTGCTAGGCACTTCCCAGAACCCACTCTGGGTTCTTCCTCTTTACTGGAAGAGCCTCCCAGTGCAACTTCTCCCTTCTGTCTGATCCTGCTTTCTCGATCCCTCTTCACCGATGGCAATCCCAAGAGAATGTCCTTATAAATATCCTATTTGCTAATCTCCATCTCAAAGTTGGCTCCTCAGGAAACCCAATCTCCAATAGTGATTTGGGGCAAATTACTTAGCTTCTCTGAGCCTCAATATCCTTAGCTGTAAAATGGGGATAATGATACCAACTTCTCATCACTGTTATCAACATTAAAGGTGACAGGCCATATGTAAGCACCCAGCACAGTGTCTAGTTTAGGGTAGTACTGTGCAAATTCCTTTTCATCCTCACCCTCTCACACATAAACCGGAGAACTTCAGTTTTGTGTTCTTTTCAAATAATTATATCACATTAAATGTGTATGTGGAATTTTATTTACATAATCTTCAGCCATGAAGCCTTTCTCCCCATATTAAAATTTTTACTGATTAAAACACAGAGCTGAAGAGACTACTGACTTAACATTATCAAACATTCACACCAATAACATCAGGTCCAAGATTTAACAATTACAAAATATCTCTGAAGTACAACATTTACAGGTATACTTGTGCAACAAAGTACATTAAGTCCAGCCTTGTTGCAAAGTGAAACATTCCACAAAATCAGTTACACTAACCAATAAAATGTTACTCTATATTATACAAAAGTCAACAAGATTGAAAGAATTAAAAAAAGAAAACTATTTGAATATGCTAATTTCCTGCTAATACATTACCAGGACAAGGACCCTCTCTGGTTTTGCTTCCTACTCTGCCATCCAGTGTCCAGCACATTGTAGATGCTCAGTATTACTTGAATGAATATGTAAATGAGTATGATTATAATGGAACTTTAGAATATGATTCTCATAGCTTTCTTAATATCCATACAAACAGCCAAATCATGAGGTGTTTATTATTTGTGGCTATTATATTTAGGGATCCCAAATATATTAACTCAACATTTTTTAAGCCTGCTATAACATAACATCAGACTTTTTTTTTCAGCACTTGACTAGATCTACTTTTTTTTTTTTTTTTTTGAGATGGAGTCTCACTCTGTCGCCAGGCTGGCATGCAATGGCGTGATCTCGGCTCACTGCAACCTCTGCCTCCTGGGTTCAAGCGATTCTCCTGCCTCCAGCCTCCTGAGTAGCTGGGAATACAGGCATACACCACCATGCCTGGCTAATTTTTGTATTTTTAGTAGAGACAGGGTTTCACCATGTTGGCCAAGCTGGTCTCGAACTCCTGACCTCAAGTGATCTGCCCACCTCGGCCTCCCAGAGTGCTGGGTTTACAGGCATGAGCCACCACACCCGGCCTGGATCTACTTTTTTAAAGGCATCCATTGTTTTGATCATCTGGTACTATATGAAAACAATAACCTCATACCTCTTAAAACAGAAATAATAAAGGAAAAGAAAAGATAATTTATAAATTAAATGAAGCTTAATTTTCTAGTAAGATGAATAGCAGACATTAATTTTAACATTTCATACACATTATAAGTGAAAAATTAAATGCTGATTTACAGTCAGCTGGGAAGGGAGAAATCCATGCATATAACTGAGCATATCTGACAACTTTCATAATCATTACTTCAAAATACCTTCTTTAGACTCAAAGAGAATTTGACCCTAGAGTCAAATTCACTGAACTTGTACAGTAAACTTTTGACTATTTCTGGCAATAGTGAACGGAAATCTCAAGGATAATAAATTATTCTCAAACCTCAATTTAGCTAACAATTTTAACTTCACCACTATACCTACACTAGGGATATTAACCCATAAGTTGGCTGCCAAATAAAAGTGCCAAATAGCCCATACTAACCTCAGTAATTCAGAAACCAAAGTAGCTAAAAATTCATTCTGTTGCATACATACAATGTGTTTAGAGTTTATTACTATTAGTAGAAAGATTTAGAGTAAATGTTAATGAAAACACGCACATACACACACACACACACACACGTGAATATGCCTGAAATGGAATGAACAGAGGTTAATATAAAAGCAATAGTAAGTACCTGGGAATACAACTTTTGTAGATCAGTGACTCCTGCCAAGGTCATAAACCAAAAGATGTTTTTTCTTAGAAGATGCAATAATATCAATAGTGCACGATGTATTTTTTAAAATTTTAATTTATTTTTCTGCCCCACAGTAAAAAGGTATTCTCATCTGTGGTTTTTGTCTTTGGATTATATATCTTTCTCCCTTCCCTCAAGCACATTCATAAAAACAAGTTGAACTTTAAAAGCTCTGGAGAAAGTGAATTAACCACTCACTTTAAGGGCTCAGGAGACAGTTTTGTGCCTGAAAGGTTGATGTGCATCAAAGCCAGAGAACTACTAAAAAATTGCTTGAAAGATGGAGGTACTTCTTTTCCTTTCCTGAAAAAAACACAAGAGTTATACAAGCGGTTATACCTTCATCAAACATATTCATTGATTATTCAGACACTATGAAATCTACAAATCAGTCATATTCTCTGTAGAAATTTAAAAGTAAATAGAAACAAATAAATGTCCAAAACCTAAAGCCATAAAGCCAATATTATTAAAGGAACCACTTAAGTGAGGTAAAGAAATACTTAGTTCATAAAATAATTCATTGCTATTCTTCATATCCAATGAATTCATTGTCTTTTACCTCTTGATCAGGAAACTCCATGTTTGGAATTTTTAAAAATAGGAGGTCAGAGAAGATGTATATTTCTCACCAATTTAAAAGCTTTCCCACTGGGTGGCACAAAATGTTAGAGATCAATACCTGCATTTGGCAATATTTTTAGATGTAGCAGGTTTCACACGCAACAAGATTGTGATCTGATGTTGAGCTAAAACAGCACAGAAAGTCCAAATGGCATGAAGCCTGCATTACAAATAGCCTATTCAGCTACTATGTCCATACCACAAACCTAATCATTTCAGGCCAACTATTAGAACAGTTAAAGACAAAACTACAAAATAAAATGGCTATAACCTCCGAATACATCCCCTTGCTATTATGGAGAAAAGTATGTGGATCAAATCATACAGCCCAATAATGAGGTAGCATCCACACTATATGATAAGGGTTTAAGAAAAACAGGATTTAAGAGTCCAAGATGGAATCTGAATGAACACTTTGCTTGCTCTGTTCTATCTGATAGAAATGATGGAAGGATTGAATAAGTCAGTATATATAAAGCACTTAGCTGATGCAGAGTAAGCACTCATTTAATGACAGTTATTCATATTCTGTGGAGGGACTCATGGAATCTCAGGGCAGAGAGCATCCTAGTGGTTTAGCTCAATCACATAATATTCAATAATATTTAATGTACAGAGATCTGGGAAAATCTGTCAATATTTGACAGTTTTTTTTTTTTTTTAAGTTTTAAAACAGGACAATTGAAGGCTATTTGAGAAGAAAAATCGAAACAACAAAAATCTCTATCTGAGAAGATGAAAAATAAAACTAAGAGGAAAGACAATTCTGGTAGACTGCGTGATATAAGAAATCTCAAACAATTCTGTTTCCATATGGTGGAACAATGTAAGCTTGTATATTTTTGTTCACTTCCTGCTGAGAAAATACTGTTAACTTACTCTAAACACATTTCTCCTCCTACTACTCTGTCTTAGTGTTGAGTATTCCAGTGTTTCCAAATATTCACTGCCCCTTTTTGAAGGAGGATGATGCTTCATCCCTCCACTGACAGCAGGCTTGGCCACGTGACTCTCTTTGGCCAGTGAGACGTGAGCAGAAATGACGCGTGTGACTTTCAGAGAGAAGCCTTGGGAGCCAGTATGTGCACTGCCATGATCTCTTTTTCTCTGCTATATGACTGTGAATGTTCTAGATAGGAGGCCACTCTGCCTCCTGGAGTGAAGGTTATATGCCAGCCCACAATGGACACGTCACAAAATCACTGTTACTGAAAGCCATGGACACTGGGGGAAAGGGGTCACTGTTACTGTGGAACAATCTAACTTATCCTGACGGATACACTTATGAAATTATCTGTGAATAAAAGAATGAAAAGCCTGGCTGACAATCCACACCTCAACGTAAATGCAGTAATTTCAACAAAATTACTAAGGGCTTTCTACAACTATATCTAGGTAAGGTATTAGGTATTAAACAGTTTAATCACAACCTTTCATGTGGAAGACAAGACAATTTGTTAGCGCAATTCTGTTCTATAAGCTTAACAGCTCTACTGAAGACCAGTCATCACAGAATTCACAGTATTGTGAACTCAAAAGTGCTGATTATACAAAAACCTTTATAGTCTGTGCTTTCATCTTGTAACCCAGTTCCCCAGTCAATTACTGCTCCACCAAAGCATGGCTTTATAAGCTGGCTTCAAATATATGAGTTGACTAGGTTTCAATTAAAACTCTCAAATGTTCCCCAAAATATAGTTACCATGGAAAATTCTACTTTTCCCACCATTATATTTTCAGATGTAACACTCCCTAACTTTAATCTATGGAGGTATTTGTGGCATATTTTTGCTACTGTACAGATTTAATCAATATTGAAGTAATAAAAAATAGTACTTTAATATACAAAGTAATTGATTTGCAAGGCACAATTATGGAATAAAGCATGCTACAAAACTGAATTTTCCAAATAAGTGAGGGTTATCCTTTTAAATATATAAGGCCTTTACAAATTAGCAAAAATAAAAATATTTCTAATATTAACCAATACCCATATTATTTAAAAGCATATAATAACTAAATATATTTATAATTTATGGTCATAATTATAAATGCCAAGTGTTGAACTGTATTAATTATTTAGATATTCCCAGATTCCATACTTATACAACCCATGTACTCTTCATAATTCCTCTGATAATTCCTCTACAGTCTCTTTGCATTCTAAGTTGCTACTCTTTGTGAATCCTTGCTGCTTCTAATCTACTGCCTTATTCTGCAAACAATTATAGTCAGGCGTATATAAGTGAAGTAGTCAGACTGGCCCTCAATTACTTCTACAAGTAAAATTGCATGACTTTGAGATAACTATTCTCTTTACTCTCCAAAAGTAGTTTATACCTATATCCAACCTCATTCATGCAAAATACCTATAAAAGTTTCTAAAAGGGTTTTTCCCATATTAAGACAGATTGCCTGACCACATACGAGAAATACTGCGCTATCACATAGTTCACGTAGGCAGGCTGGAATTATTGATAAGAACATTAACCTACATTAACAAAAATGTTCAAGGCCTAACATTCATAAATAATGCTTAAAGCCGCCTTCTTTCATACACAATATTCACCCTTTATCACTCCGTTTTCCTTATCACTACAAGTTTTTCTCAGAAAAAGACACTTCCAGATGACAATGAGAGCAGAAATAAATCTATACCGGTGAGAGAAGACAGTTCTGGAGAGGTTGAGCACAGCTAAATATTGAAGGCATCCACGGAGAAGAGCTCCACAGACCTGAAAAAGAAATAAGGTACTCTTCTTTTCAAATATTTCTAGGTCCAAGAGAATCTTTTATTAGAGGTCCCCTACATTCCATCTAAATAGCTCTTCTGAGACCCCTCAGAGCAATATATATATATGTGTGTGTGTGTGTGTGTGTGTGTGTGTGTGTGTGTGTGTATTAAATTTACCATGTCCAGGGAACATTCGGTATTGGATAAATCCAGATGAGCAATGGCATTTGGCTGGGCCAAAAAATTGTACATGTGCTGGAAAAAAAATAAAAGATACATGTTAGGATTCTAGAAACACATATACACACAATGCAAGTTAATGTTTTAAAAGGAAGTTCCCAGAATTTCTTAGACCATTCTCTGCTCTTCCCAAGGGGATTACCAGAATTTTCTGTCATTCCTTTACATTCCCTGATGTGAAAATCCCAAGAATAGTTAAAATTATGTTTGAGTAAAAAAGGCCAAATGGAATCTTGAAAACCAACCCCCCATTTTGTTACACATGACTTAAGTTTTCCTGATTAGTTTAATTTTTATTATACAATTTTGGAACAGTGCTAATTCATTTTAACTCCTGAGATTAAAATACCACCTGGACTGCAGTCACTCTATCAAAATGCTAATCACTTTTGAAAGTGTTTGCAGAACTACGAATCTGAATTTGAACCATAAGATGGTCTCAGGCTATCCTCTCTTCTGTTCAACATAATGATTTTCCTACCCTTAGTTACTTCTCAAAGCTAACAAGAATGACTTGGCAGTAATATGAGTGCATTGAAAAGTTTTCACTAATAGCTAAGACACTTCCAGTTTCAGGGGGTCACAATGCCTAAATTTCCCCAGTCCTCCCATTCAAGGCCATCAAAATAATGAAACTGATCAACAGATCAGTTCAACTGAGATGTTGAACATCAACAGAGATGGAATTACCCTGTATGTGTAGCAACTGCCAGAGCCCACCCATAAGAAACTGAGTCCAAGCTCCCTGCCACCAGGCAAATAGCTTAATTCTCCTCTGCTTCACTGGATACCACTGGATACTTGCAAAAACAAGCAAGCTTATACTGAGTATGTGCTTGCAAACATTTACTATGTGTAGCAGTTTGGCTATATGGTGCTTCAGAAGAATCCTATCAAGGAATTCAGAAGAGCAAAAAAATAGCCTATAAACACTTAACACTTTAAAATAACCATACACATAGAATGACTTTTCTTTCTCCCCTCCCTTCCCGTCCTCCCTCCCTCCCTCCCTCCCTTCCTTCCTTTCTTTCTTTCTTCTTATTCATTTATTTACTTATTTATTTTAAGACAGGGTCTGGCTCTGTTGCCCACACTGGAGTGCAGTGGTATGATCTTGGCTCACCGCAACCTCCACTCCCGGGCTCAAGCCATCCTCCCACCTGAACCTCCTGAGTAGCTGGGATTACAGGCATGTGACACCACACCTGGCTAATTTTTGTATTTTTTGTAGAGATAGGGTTTCACCATGTTGTCCAGGCTGGTCACAAACTCCTGGACCCCAGAGATCACCTGCCTTAGCCTCCAAAAGTGCTGGAATTCTAGGTGTGAGCCACTGTACCCAGCCATAGAATGGATTTCATTATGAAAAGTTTTGATTCAGAAAAGTCATTTTGCTCTCACATGAAGATCCTCTGCCTCTCTCTCTGTTTGCCTGGCAAAAATTGTCTCAAGAGACTTTTAAGTTTACTGTGGCTTTGCTCCCAGCCACCAGCTGGGGGAGCTCTTATCACCATGAAATGGTGACAAGACTATTTGGCCACACTTCTCCAAAGAGGCCAGGCCCTGTTAGGCTGCTTTCCCTGAGGGCACAGGGTCAGGTAAACTCCTGCACCTGCTACCAGGCTCCTGGAACTTTCGTCTTTCTCACCCACTCTCCCTTCCAGCCCACTCTCACTCAGGCCTCATCGTTCCACTCCCCAGAAGCAAGCTACAATAGGACCCACCCTGGCCAGAAAAAGAAATCTTGAGCTATTTTGTTGTTTTAGGTGACTATTAATGTTCCTATTTTAGCTGAATCTTAATAATCGTTAGCCTCTCCTTTCACCCTTCCCTCTATTCTTCTACTTTGCCACAGTATTATTTTGGTGGTTTCATATTGGCCTCCTTGTTTTATTTTGGGAGGGAGCAGATTTATGAACCGTCAGTGAAGGTAACAACAGAAACTGGAAAATGAATTGAAAAATCATGGCACACCAGGAATCAAGTATCATTTAAATAATTTTAAGTGCAAGGGAGAGGAAAAGGAAAAAAAATACAAAAAGGCCTTCATTTGTACTTGCTGCCTTACAGGTAAACCAAAACAAGAGAAGTAAGAATAAATTTCACAGTGTTTTTCAGCCCTGTGGCAAAGCAGTGGATTGCAAATTAAGGCCCTCCAAAGATGGCCACTGGGTGTGGGCCATGTTGTTAAAGAAACAATTCTTCTAAATTCTATCTTGGTGACCTGAGGGGAACATTCGCCTCATATGGAAATGAGATCATACCTAATCCACTGTGTCAAAGATCTGCCAAATATTACATTATTGATTCAGTTACATCAACAATTTTATTATAATTGAGGGAGTAGTTTTTGTCTTCACACTCAAACTCTGAAGAAATGGCCCCAGGTTATGTGTAGACCACTCTTCTCCCTATTTTATTCACAGAATAGACGAGTGCTCAGGTTTCTCCCAATACTCCCTTTCAATTGTAACCTATAAAAACACATCAATCTTCCCAGTAACAATAAAAATAATGAGAAAGTTCAGTTTATGTCCCCAATCTTCCCTACCAGGCAATTTTAACCTGTAAGCTAATGGGTTTTTGTTGTTGCTGTTATTGTTTGATACGGAGACTCATGCTGTCGCCCTGGCTGGAGTGCAGTGGCGTAATCTCGGCTCACTGCAACCTCCACCTCCAGGGTTCAAGCGCTTCTCCTGCCTCAGCCTCCTGAGTACCTGGGACTACAGGCACATGCCACCATGCCTGGCTAATTTATGTATTTTTAGTAGAGATGGGGTTTCACCATGTTGGCCAGGCTGGTCTCGATCTCCTGACCTCGTGATCTGCCTGCCTCAGCCTCCCAAAGTGCTGGGATTACAGGTGTGAGCCACTACGCCCGGCCCCTGTAAGCTAATGTTTTTAAATGAAGAACAAAAATTCTTCAACAGCATTACTTCAAAAAAAAAATGTGAACTTCAGCATCATTAAATGAGAAAAAAAATAACTGTGGTGATATATGACATTTAATTAATGAAGGCTCTGGAATTTTCAGTAAAACACTTCGTAAGCTAGTAACTAAATAATTCAAAGGTGTCATGCTAAAGAGAGAGGCAGGGAAACGCGCTACAAAGTCACGTTTAGAATTATTCCAGGCTTACTAAACACAGCTTCTTTGAAGATGGAATAAAGAAAGAAAAACTTACTGAGAGGTCATCTCCACGAAGGACGTTCCCTGAGAGGTCGAGATGGACAAGGGTAGAGGCGGTCAATGGATTGGCACTGAGTGACTGAGAAAGGCTGTTCACCCCTGCAACATCAAGAAAATCCAGGCTCAGTTTGCACTCCAGGAAACAAAATGAGGTTTGTGTTTCTATAAATGGCCCAACAGTTCCATCAAATTGCAGGACTGAGGTTAACCATGAGCACTGTCCCCGAAAGGTGGCGCTATGATTGTGTCTCCTTTTGACACACCCTCAGGAAGAACAGGTTGGTCAAAGATACAACCCCCTCACTGAATCGGAAGGAGTAATGAATTGGTTTCCCTTTGCTCCATGTCTTCTGATGTGTCCAAGGACAGAAAGGATTTTAATCCGAAGCCTTAGAATGATGAAAGCAATCTAGTTGACAATGTTTATCCTTCTCTTAATCCTGCCAGGTGATTCTTGAGTTAGTGCCTGGTATTTAAATGATGCATGTCCAAATTCAGATAATTTAGGCTATTTAAAGTATTGGAAAGTTAAAAAGAGAAGTATACAGCTCTTCTTAAATGTATTATGTTCAAGGAAACATTTGGATTAAAATGGATTTCACAAAGAATCAGGAGATGATCTGTATACCATGTAAGATGCAATCACAAGGAAAAATGTATAATTAACATTCTATACACTCTTTACACACAAACATAAATGGCTCAAGTTAACATAAACTGAACTAAACTGACAAATCCACCTCAGAAAACAAATAATGAATATGTGAGGAGGCTGCTTATTCTGTATGGATAGACCGAAGTTCTCTTATAGGTGGGTAACAATTATTGATGGGCTCGCTAGTCATGGTTGTCTAGTGGGCCACTTCTTTTCAGAAGGGAATAGGAGCTCTTTGAGGTGTGTCATTATCAAATGGGAGCCCAGAAGGGTCTAATCACTCACTGAGACTCAATCACTCACCACAGCACTGATGATTTTACTTAGCATAATGTGAATGTAAGAGATAGCAAAGCTCTTCGTGTTTCTACCCAAAAGTCCATGGTTCCAAATTCTATACTTTAGAAATATGGCTATTTCTTAATTGGGTACACTTTTATAAATTATTTTGTTTTTCTTAGTTTTCAGCAAAATTTTTTGAAAATCTCAACCTATCAAACTGAGACTCAAGTTCTTAAGTCAATCACTCTAAAGAGAACCAGGAAAAGGTTTTCTTTCCCCTCCACATTTGGGCAGACCCTTCATGGAGAAGAGGGGCCAAGGTCAGGGCTGCCAGTAACAGACAGTTCTGGTCATAGCAGCAGGATCTGGTGAGGGTACTACAAGAGCTATGGGTTGCAGGTAAAGCCTCCCACTGGAGCACCTCCCTGATGTGAGCTTAGAACGTTCAGTGTGGGGCTGATAAAGAGGCCATTGTCTTCCCCAACTTCAGAGAGTTATAATAAACTGATTCTAGTGTGTGTCTGATAAAGGTTACTGAGCCATTTCTCAAAGTGGGTGCACATTTGGGTGGGTATACAGGAGACCGAGACTTCGAATAAAAAATATTTAAGTGCAAAGAACTTCTTGGCTGTCAACTCACCATTTACTAAATGCTAATAAAATGCTGGGAATTAGGAGATAAATATAAATAAGATCTTTTTCTTTTTACCCTCAAAAATTGCAAAGACCATTAGGGAAAAACTTAGTTAGACTCTGCAATGAAAAGTCAGTGCTACACAAGGAATATTCATTCCAATAAACCTTTACTGAAATCCCACTGTGTACCAGGCAGGGTCTTCTGAGATACCATCTTACTTGCTGAAGGCCAGTGGAGCGGGAGACACAGACAGCTGAATAATCACTATCCAGAGAGGCAGTAACTATCAATGGGGCAAGAACAAGAGCTTGGCAGTAGAGAAGCAGGAAATGTGATTAATTGTGTTAGATAAGAGGAACGTACGGTGGCTTATAACAAAAGGTTATTTTCCGGAGGTTATCTTCTATAACTGTTTAAATGACTAACTTCCTTTAGTTTGTCCTGATATTAGTATTAATGTATTTTTTAATGGAATAATTGAGTCCAAAACATAGGGCCAATATCAGATTCTCATCAAGAAAATCATTTGTAAAATCATTTCCTTACTGAGGTATAACAAAACTCAATAAATAAATTCCAAAAATAGAAGGCTAAATTAGTCCTGACAGCAAAATGCTCCTTGACAAGTGCGGGCACTTGGCAGTTGTCCAACATCTGAATAGACTCGAGAGAGCATCATGTTATCAGCTCAGCTTCATGCTACTGAAACAGCACGAACGATTTCCTCTCCTGCCCCCTGAGCCCATGTTCACAGGAGGCCTGTGTTAATAAGCCCACGAAGAGTGGAGAATTATAAAAGTATAGACCTGAAAAAAAATCAAGGCTCTTACAGCCCTAACTAAACACATTTACATGCCTTTCTCGATTCTGGCTGTCTAGCGATTTTGACCATTCTCTGTTATTTATTATTGTAGTGTTTACAGCTGGAAAAAGGTGGTACCAGATGGCTCTGCGCTGACATAATCTGGCAACCAGCAGGACATTTGCTAGAAATCCAGAAAACTATGAGTTAGTTAACATCTGAGCTAAAGAAAGGGTATTTGGAGGCAGTGGCGATGTCATGGGGAGTTTTTTTTTTTTTTAATCTGTCTTGCATTATCGAGCCATGAATATAAATGCTAGTCTGATTCACCAGAAGCTTAACACTGCAATGTAACTCCAGTCATTTTAAATCTGCGTATCTTTCAGATCCTATGTGAAATACTTCAAGAAGTCAATTTTTTTAAAAAAGTAAACAAACATTTCAAGATATTTTTGTCCTAGGGCAATTTGAAATTACTCAGGCTGGGCATGGTGGCTCATGCCTGTAATCCCAGCACTTTGGGAAGCTGAGGCAGATGGATCACCTGAGGTCAGAAATTTGAGACCAGCCTAGCCAACACGGCGAAAACTCGTCTCTACTAAAAATACAAAAATTAGGTGGGCATGGTGGCACATGCCTGTAATCCCAGCTACTTGGGAGGCTGAGGCAAGAGAATTGCTTGAACCCTGGAGGCAGTGGTTGCAGTGAGCCAAGATCGTGCAACTGCACTCCAGCCTGAGCGACAGAGCGAGACTCCGTCTAAATAAACTAAACTAAAATAAGATAAAAATTCTTCAAGTCATGTTATAAAACAATGCTAATTCTTAAAACACATATTGTAATATATACATATTTTATTGCAAGTAAGAAATAAATGGGAGGACCCTTATTTGTAAAGGGTATAGGCAATGTGGAGCTGTCCTCATCATAAGGAGGTGAAGAAGCCCAGTTTTGCCCATAGGACCTCCCCACTGTTACCAATCTAAAAGGGACAGGGACATCAGGGAGAGGTGGCACTGAAGGTCCTCAGAACCAAACTTGCCCTCAGAAGGATAAATGATCACTACATCCTTTTATTTGTTATATAGTAATGAACAGATGAATTAAAATAAATATAATCAAGAATTATTAATATAACCAGTTTTCTGTTTTTGTTTTTGTTTTCTAAAGAGACAGGTTCTCGCTCTGTCACCCATGCTGCAGTGCGGTGGCACTGTCATAGCTCACTGCAACCCGAAACTCCTGGGCTCAAGCATCTTCCTACCTCAGCCTCCGGGGTGGCTAGAATTAAGATGCAATTCATATAATCAGGTTTTTTAAAACCACTCTATCTTATAAAAGACTTAAACTAGACCTATGGAGCACACAATAAATAATGAATGCTTTTAATATGTACAGAAGTCATATAAACTTTTTTTAAAAAGATTAACACTATAAACAGAAAACTAACAAAGGATATAAACTTAGTGATTTCCCTAAAAGAAATACAAATGACTAAGGAACAAGGGACTTCAGAGGGGGTCTGCCTTGTTATTTATACTTTTTAGTATCTTCTAAATCTTTATCATAAATGTGTACTACATTGATAATGATCAGAAAAAGGTTTATATAAAATGGATTTGCTGAAGTAGAACAGTGATAATGTAAAGGAGTTAAACTTAGCTGTAAGATCTGTAGATGGCTTCAGGCACTAGGTCGGAAAACACTGACTCCCGGGGAAATCCCTTTGGTAATGTATTTTCATGCCTTAATCTTAAATATGTGTGTATAAATGTGTGCACATAAAATCATGGTACTTATGGAACTAATCTCAATTTCAAACCATTCTTAATTTAACTGCATGTTCAGAATAATGTATGATGGTATGGATATAAAATCATGAAGGGATGACTTTGCTTTACTCATTTATCCAAGGCACATTCAGTGAGAGACTGAGAAGTGCTAGGACACAGCAATGAATGAGGCAAAGCCCTTATTATTCAGAAATGTACAGGCTAAGTCACAATCAAATGCGATGGACACATGCTAAGATAGAGGAATTTACAAAGAACTATGGAACACAGAGAAAGGGGCATCTAGTCATACAAGGTGTGGTGAGAGGGGGTTGTCTGAGAACGTTTCAAAGAGAAAGTGAGATAGAAGCAGCCAGGCGCAGGAGCTCATGCATGTAATCCCAGCACTTTGGGAGGCTGAGGCAGGCAGATCACTTGAGCTCAGGAGTTCGAGACTAGCCTGGGAACATGGAAACCCTGTCTCTACAAAAAAATTAGCTGGGTGTGGTAGTGCGTGTTTGTGGTCCCAGCTACTTGGGGGGCTGAGGTGGGAGGATCACTTCAGCGCAGGAGGTAGAGGCTGCAATAAGCCAAGACCATACCACTGCACTCCAGCCTGGGTGACACAGCAAGAACCTGTCTTCTAAAAAAATGAAATTAAATTAAAAATCCACCTCCAATAATTTTTTTTTTTTTTTTGAGACAGAGATAGAAGCTGAATCTGCACAGGACGCACAGTACTTCATGAGACATTCCAGGTAAGGACACTAAGGTTGCTCCAGGTAGAAACTGAGGCATATAAAAACATAAGACAGCTCAGGATGATGATAATTATGATGATGGTGGTGGTGGTGGTGGTGCTGGTGCTGGTACTGGTGGGGGTGACGGTAGCAGTTTACTAAGCACTTTGTGACAGAAACCATACTGTATGTATATTAAATCATTCAACTCTAACTATCTGTGTAGAAATAAGATACTGTTATTTCTGTCCTACAAATGAGGCACCTGGGAACAAAGACATTATATATAAATGCATGACACATAAGTAGAAAAGTCAGAATTCAACCTTGGGCAATCTGACTACAGAACTGACACTTTCAACCACTATACATACTGTTTCCAAAAGACAGTGACTTTCTTAAGAAATGGCAAGATGTTCAAGAAACTTTTGTTAAACAGTAGTCCAGGCACAGTGCCAGGTGCTGCAGATAAAAAGATGAGAGAAGCACAGGCCACAAGGAGAGCCCCAGTGTAGCAGGAAAGACACAATATTTATACAATGTTACATATGTGATCTTGAATACAATGGGAACAGTCATTGATTCTGTGTGGCCTTGGGAACAGGGAACACATCTCAGCAGAGTTTATCACAGATAAACAGTTTTATAAAACAAACTGAACCTCTCTGAGAATATTTGGAGATTAAAAAAATTTTTTTCAGGCATCCAGGGCAAAATGTGAAGATATACAAAGGCACAATGAATGCAGGATAATTTCTAATATTATTATTGTGGTGCTGCTGTGGCAAAATAATAACAGAATTGACAGGATTTGATGGAAAAAATGAAGGTGAGTGAACTTATGAACTCACCTGGAGAGAAGATAAGGAAATCTCTAAAGACAGAACTACAAAGAGGGGAGCTACAGTGGTGATCCAGCAGTTAGGCCCAACAGTTTTCTGTAAAGCAGACAGTCTGTCTGACAGTTTGAAAGGCCAACTTGTTGAACCAAGATAAACACAACCAGGTGCATCTAGGAATGTGAGGCAGGAGGATAGAGGCAGACAGGAGAGTGCTCCCTGACTCAAAGTTTTAAAAGTTAAAGACTACATGTACATATCAAAATTATTCTCTACACTGACAGCATTTCACTTCAGAGCATCAAACATTGAATTACATAATGTCTTTATCTTCAAACTGCCAGACTAATATAATAGATATATTTTTAAATGTAAGTACATTTACAAATAATTCTAACTAAGGTAGCAGGCACAGCAGAAATATTTCAGACACATTGTTAGGTAAATAAGAAATACTGTACCTTTAGGTGATAATGAGGTTTTAGATAAATTTAAATGCTTTAATCCCTTCGGGAGTTTGGCAAATTGAATACTTAAAGAGGACACACCTGAGAAAGGAAAAAAGCGATTAGAATTTTCAAGTTCTTGGAATTGCATTTTCTACAATGAATGAAAATTAATTTTGATTCTGAATGAAGTGATCATATTTTTCTTTCTAATATCAGACTTTGTTTTCTAACCATTTACCATCAAGCCCCCTTTTCTTTCTGTCCTACCTACAGGGTAAGAGAAGGGGAAGATATCTTACTCGGCATACAACATCTGAAACTTTTCCATTGGCGATACTTTTCTTGGGGCCAAGTGTCACTCTTTTTCTCATAGTTCTAGTTAAAATGCAAATCCTCTTGGAAAGGATGTTAACTCCTTTTCTTTTTAACCTCTGTCTTAACGAGTTGATCGCTCTTCTAGATGAGCAGATGTATGCTATTTAATTATTGTCAAGAAGAATGGAGTAACATTAACTATTCTGATAACGGCAGATGGATTCCTATACTTAATTGGCTTACAGCTAACAACCTCATAAAGAGCTTCGGAGCATGTTTTAACTTCTTAAAAGTAGATTTTGTAACTTTGGATAACTCACCAGGAATTTACAGTATTTAAAATCGGATATCTTCTAAATTTAATAACCAGAGTGGGAGATTGAGAACACCAGCTCACCCATCCAAGGACTGCAATGAGCATAGACTGTTTTCTGGGAGGAAATAAGTAATACACAAATGTATGTCCTTCATACAAGTCCTTCAACTGACCTCCTGCTGTAGATGAGCCATCATTTCCCCAGGGGCATATTCTTCAGAAGGCTCCTAAAACAATGTTAATTCCTGCTCCCTTAGGCTAATTCTCAAGCTTCAGGCAGCAAGAAGAAATTACTGTGCTGGTTGCTGTCCTACTATATAACCCCAAATTATCTATAAATCTTATCACAACTTCTAAGAAACAACATGGAGGTCATGCAGCTAGAGTAAGCCTCTACATGGGCGTTTCCCCTAGAATAGTGGGTGTTCTGGGAGCCTCTATTTCCCCACTGTGTTTCCACAGTCAAAGAAGTTTGAAAATCACTGGATTAAATCACGTTAAACAGGTTTTTATCTGATTATTTCTAGAGACTTGAATATGCTAATCCATTTTGTAAATTACAAGAAGAGGGCAGCCTTGATATTTAGCTGATACACTCTTGTAAAAAAAAAAAAAATAAGTGACTAACAAGTTGATGGAGGAAAGGGGAAAGACAGAATAACTGTTAAAACTTGATTAATCTAAAAGGCAAAAAAGTGAGGAAAAAAGGGGACAAATAAAAAAATGGACCAGCACTTTGGGAGGCCGAGGCATGTGGCTCACAAGGTCAAAAGATCGAGACCATCCTGGCTAACACGGTGAAACCTTGTCTCTACTAAAAATACAAAAAATTAGTTGGGCGTGGTGGTGGGCGCAGGTAGTCCCAGCTACTCGGGAGGCTGAGGCAGGAGAATGGCGTGAACCCAGGCGGTGGAGGTTTGCAGTGAGCCAAGATCGTGCCACTGCACTCCAGCCTGGGTGACAGAGCAAGACTCTGTCTCAAAAAAAAAAAAAAAAAAAGAAAAGTAAACAAATAGAAATACAACTTTTCACCCAAATATCTGAATGATTACATTAAACATAAATTTATTAAATATATTTAATTTACATTTGTATTATTTTAAAATATTATGTAAATATAAAGATTCAAATTACAAATCAAAGATGATTTACTTGAATAAAAATATCAAACGTTTTCAAGAGATACACCTAGAGATATATGTATTCAGAAGCGAAGTAAAAGCATGAAAAAAGAAATGCTACAAACACTAACCAAAAGAAATCTGATGTAGCTGCAATGAGACAATTTAAATTTTAAGAAGCATTACTAAAGATAAATGGAATATTTCATTAATTAAGAAGATACAATTACTCTAAATCTATGCTCTCATTAACATCATCTGAAAATATATAAAATAAATCTGACAGTAACAAAAGGAAAATACATACATTATTACATAAACACACACATATATATAATAATAGAAGTTTTCCAACACACTTCTATTAGTAGCTAATAAATGAACAGAAAAAGTCAGTAAAGATATAGAGAACATCAAAAGCATAATGAAAAAAGATATAATTGATATATTTAAAATGCTGTACCCAGTAACTACAGAATACATGTCTTCAAAGTCCACACTGAATATTTTCCAAAAGGAATCAGATACCGAGCCATAAATTTAGCAAGTCTCAACAAATAATAGAATGTTCCTTAGTACTGTGAATTCATACATAGAATATTTGTACACTCTCTGTTACCACTACTGCAGTTAAAATACGAATTATAACAATAAGATAATTAGAAAATCCCCAAATAATTATAACATAAGCAATATATTTCTAAATAACAAAAGAGCCAAAAATCACAATGGGAATTTTAAAGATCTTTTGAGTTAAATCTAAAAACTATGGTATTAAAATTTTTGGGATCTAACTAGAGCCATGCCTAAAGATAAATCAATAGACCTAAATACACATTTTAAGAAAGATGAAAAACTGGAAAGTAATTATCTAATTATCCATCTCAAAAAATAGCAAATTAATCCTCACCCACCTCTGTAAACAGAAGGAAGGAAAAAAATAAGAAAAAGGGAAGAATCCAATTAAATAGATAGCATCCGTAAAAATAAGTAAATTTAACAAAGTTGGTTCTTTAAAAATACTAAAAAAATTAATAAACTCCAGCAAGACTGGTAAAATAAATAAATGAGAAAGAGATCAAATTATCAAAATCAAATCAAAAAAGAATGTAAAGATCTTACAGGCATTGAATTATAACTTGAGGGTATAAACAAATCTGTAAGTCAAAAAACTATCATTTTAATAGAAAGGAACAAATCCCTTACAAAAAACATGACAGACCAAAACTAATGTAAGAAGAAGTAAATAATCTCAATAGTTCGCTATCTATTCAAGGAAACAAATCTATTATTAAAAAATCTCTCCATAAAGAGAAGCAAAAGAAGCCAAACACAAAGGAGTACATAGGCAAAGAACAGGCAAAGCTCATCCATCATGAGAGAAGTCAGGGCTGGTAATCACTGGGGCAAACCACAAGGTAAGTCTGGAGAATACTGGGAACATTCTGTCTCTTAATCTTGGTAGTGGCTTCTGGGAGAAACAAAAGGCCTCTTCTCTGTTAGAAAGCATACAGATTAGAACGTTGTAGATGTCAGAGGATAGGTGAGTAAAAATTTTTACAGTTCCACCCATTTCTATAGCTTTCCTGGAGAGTTCAGAAACGCTAAGAAAAGTAAGTGAAAAAGCAAAATACAATGAAGTATTTCCATTTCAAACATAAGGCTGAGAGGAAAAGACTTGGAACCAAGAATATAAGAATATAGGGATACTGGAAAAAATTGAGTCAACACTTCTAACTTTTAAATGCCCTAAAATCTAAATCTATGCCTTTTTCTTTTTTTTCCCCCCAAGATGGAGGCTCACTCTGTCGCCCAGGCTGGAGTGCAGAGGTGTGATCTCGGCTCACTGCAACCTCCTCCTCCAGGGTTCAAGGGATTCTCCTGTCTCAGCCTCCCGAGTAGCTGAGACTACAGGTGCGTGCCACCACACCCAGCTAATTTTTTGTATATTTAGTAGAGACGGGGTTTCACCATGTTAGCCAGGATGGTCTCGATCGCCTGACCTCGTGATCCACCAACCTCGGCCTCCCAAAGTGCTAGGATTACAGGCGTGAGCCACCGTGCCCAGTCAATCTATGCCATTTTAAAAATATTGCTTTACCTGTTTAACCATGAAAATATCAATTATCTCATTTAATCCTTAGAACATTCTTATTTGGTAGGTACTATTATTTATATTTTTAATATAAGGAAGCTGAGGTATAGAGAAGGTAGGTAACTTGTCCAAGAACACTTAGCTAGAAAGCTGTGAAGCTCGGAATTAAACCCATGTGTTTCGACTCTGGGACTCATTGATATACACTGAGACATGAAAGATCTAAAACACCAAGAAAAATAAGCAGGAACCCTAGAATCTGTAAGTCTCTTGTCTTATTTAGAAGATCAAATCAGAGCCACCACCAAATAGCTGGGAAAAAATATGAGCATACTTCAGGTTAACAAAAAACACTAGAGCTAGGATTCTAAATGGTGTCTAAATGAAATAATCGAATTTGGAATAAAGTGAGTGGAGGAGCCTGGGCAACACAGTGAGACCACATCACTACAAAAAACATTTAAAAATTAGCCAGGTGTGGCAGTGCACACCTGCAATCCCAGCTACTTGGGAGGCTGAGTGGGGAGGATGGCCTGAGCCCAGGAAATCGAGGTTGCAGTGAGCCATTATTGCACCATTTTACTCCAGTCTGGGCAACAGAGTGAGACCTTGTCTCACCAAAAAAAAAAAAAAAAAAAAAAAGAGAGGAGAAGAAGTGAGGACAGACATTTCTGAAAAGGCTAAAATCATAAGAACTAAGGTAATTGGGACAGATAACTAGGAAAAACAGAACACAGAATTTGTAATGCTTAGAGAAGTAAAGCATAAATGTACATATATTAGTATTAGAAAACTAAAACCAAAGTTTCCCCTAAACGACGCACTCTGACATTTCTGTTCTATTCTACTGCTTTTTTTAAAAAAAATGCTTGTCATGAACTATTAAATTGATTTCACGGCCAGCTAATGGGTCTTGACCCACAGTCTGAAAAAACACTGTGTTAGATGAAGACCATGAGCAAGCTGGTGAACAGGCATGGCCTGGCAACAAGGATAAGAATAGCCTGTGTATGTGTGTGGTCTGTTCACCATCTTGTGTGGCTCTTGCAGAAAGAGAACAGTAGGGCAACTAGCATTTGAAGGATTACTCATACACATTATACCTCTGCTTACTAAGTCATACTCGAACCTCCTTTACCACAACCCCCTCAGCAATCAGAAGACTACAGGCCTGGTCCTCTATACATAGATGTGAAAATAACAGTTTTGCTGCATCAACATTCATATCATACAACTCTTGGAGAGTTTCCAAATAAGTTCCTGAGTGGAAGGTTTAGGTACAAAACCACATTCCATTTGCTGTGTAAATTCCTCAGAATTCTTGGCCACTTAACTGTTAAGACCTTATCTCTTTTGTTTTTTTTTTTTTTTTTTTTTGAGACAGAATCTCTCTCTGTCGCCAGGCTGGAGTGCAGTGGCACAATCTCAGCTTACTGCAACCTCCGACTCCCTGATTCAAGCGATTCTCCTGCCTCAGTCTCTCGGGTAGCTGGGATTACAGGCACATACCACCACACCCAGCCAATTTTTGTATTTTTAGTAGAGATGGGGTTTCACCACGTTGACCAGGATGGACTCAATCTCCTGACCTCATGATCCCCTCGCCTCAGCCTCCCAAAGCGCTGGGATTACAAGCATGAGCCACCGTACCCAGCCCCTTGTATTTCTTTGAGCTTCCTTACAAATAATAGTCCTGGCTTAGTCTTTTTTATATTCTGTATAACTTAATTACAGACTCCTCCTTCACCCTTTTTATTACTTTCAAACACAAAATACCATCACTGAAAACCTTGGGAACAAAAATTACTAAAAGTTTTCTCTAGATTGAAATTTCAGTAAATATTTTACACTCATTTAGATTTCTTGTGGAATTTCCATCCATGAGCAGAAAAGTTACCAATCCTTCAGGTAGTTAGCCTGAATGAAAAGAAAAAAGAATTTGTGTTCAGGAGGCTCATCCTGAAGAGTAAAGAAAGATGGGAGATACGAATGTTGGCAGTTGTCTGTGAGCACTGGCAAATACAGCAATGAATGAATTTAGAAGGGGCAGAAATGAGAAAAGTCTTGGTCTGCGAAAATATTTTCAGGATGTTAAAATTTGAAGGTATATGAGCAGAAACCACACTACAGACTTGGCAGGAATATTCAAGGCTATCCTTGGAATGATTCATGATGACAGCACTGGTGAACGGGCTGCAGCTAGATAAAAAGACACAGGTCTCAGAAATAGGAAAGCAGAGGGAAAAAGTAGGCAAACATCATCTTTGAACACATGGTCTGACTCTATACAAAAGAAATCTCTCAAACTTCACCATAATTTTCAAGTGCAAATAAAAAAAACTATACAAGAGAATTAAGATTGAATACAATCAAATAAATCAAATTCAATTTAAAGAAAATATCTGTTGATTGTGGACCAAGTCTTACACTAGATGCTTTGCATCTTAGGGAACAAGGAAGGGGAGACAGAAAATCCAGAAAGTGGGGATGAGAGGAAGCAAGGTGCTGAAGCATGGGGAAAGAAATGTCCACCTCTAGTTCTCATGTGAGCAGAGTGAAGTAAGTGCTATTACGGAATTTTACATGGGAGCTCCAAAGTGAGGGCAAGACAAAGGAAACTGCACCTGCGGTGACAAGTTGTCCAATGTGGCTGCACCTCAGAGAACATGAAGTGGACAACAGGAGAGAAAACAAAGGGCCTCAAATTCATTCTTCCTCTTCCATCTCCCCAAACAATGTGTGGTATTTTAGGTCTGGCTTCTTTCACTTAACAGTGTTTTTGAGGTTCATCCATGATGTGGCATGTGTCAGAATTCCATTCTCTTTTGAGTAGTATTCCAATGCACATATTATATACACCATATCTTATGTAACCACTCTCCAGTGATGAACATCTGGGATGTTTCTACTTTTTGGCTATTATAACTAATATTGCTACAAACATTCATTCACAAGTCTCTGTGTGGACATAAGTCTCCTTTCACTTGGGTGATACACCTAGGAGTAGAATTGCTGGGTTATATGGCAGGTTTGAGTTTAACTTTTTAAGAAACTGTCTAGCGTGTTTTGCATGTGGCTGCACCATTTTACACTCCCACCAGCAATGTAGGAGTTTCCATCTCTTCACATCCTTTCGAAGACTTATTTTGATTATTGCCACACTACTGCTTTTGAAATGGTACCTCACTGTGGTTGTAATTTGCATTTCTCTAAACACTGAGAAGTGTCCCCATCCTGATCCATCTGAACTCTGGATTTCATTTGCTTAAGAACCTTCCTCAAACAACTACCTCCCTCTACAGATTTTTTCCTGTATGTTGATAAATATAACTGAGTCCCTCCCATCTTAAAAACAAAACCAAAAATAGCCCTTCTGTCTATAAAACGGTGATCACCATGATTTCTACTTTGTCACATTCACCTCTCTGTAGTATCTAATAGAGAAACATTTGTTTTTCCTAAGAATTGAGTATACCCTAGAGAAACTCCTATTCCAGTACTACGCATCCATTAATTTCAGCTTTGGCTTATTCTATGAGGGTACTTTTTGCGTGATCTAGCTTTCTAATTCAGTCTCGACCTTCCTGTAGATTCACTACTTTAGATGATGACAAGTTACCCTGGAGATTTTTGCTTGAATACAACCTAGGTATCTTTGTCAGCACCAAACAATGACCATATTAAGGACAAAAAGAAAAACTGAACATCTATATCAGTATCTTCAGCTCAGTTTAATAATTAATACTCTTCAAATATAACATTGAAAGGTGAAAGGCCGTATTCAACAACCTGGAAAACATCTGCAACAGAAAATGAAAACAAAATAGTCCCACTAAAGATAAACCAATTCCTTCTTAAACCTTGTCCATCAGTGTTCCACTAAGAATTCAAATTCTCGAGTTTCCCTTTCTAAACTTACTGACTCCTCTCTCTACACATCCACTTTTAATAAAACATTCTGACTCTTCGTGAACTCTAGTCCTTCATCCTTTCCCTATTCTCACACTCAAATCTTGTTAAATATTAAAATATAATAGTGGTAAAGAGAAATCTAAGATAGTCCCCAAGATTCTCACCCCCTGGTGTATACGCCCTGTGCAAATTTCCTTGAATATGGGGGTGGGGAGCAGTAAATATACTGTTGACTCTTGAACAACACGGGTTTGAACTGCACTGGTCCACTTCTGTGTGGATTTTTCTCCACCTCTGCCACTGCAGACACAGCAAGATTAAGGCCTCCTTTTCTTCCTCCTCCTCCTCAGCCTAGTCAATGTGAAGATGACCAAGATAAAGACCTTTATGATGATCTACTTCCGCTTAACAAATAGGAAATATATTTTCTCTTTCTTATGATTTTATTAATAAAATTTTATTTTATTTGGCTTAAAGAATACTATATAATACATATAACACACAAATTACACATTAGTCAACTTTTTATTGGCAAGGCTTCCAGTCAACAGTGCTATTAGCAGTTAAATTTTGAGGGAGTCAAAAGTTACATGTGGATTTTTGATGGCTTATGGTCAGTGATTCTCACTCTTGAGTTGTTCAAGGGTCAACAGTAATGAGACATCCCTACCACGATTAGGTTACTAATCACTTGACTTTGAGTTCATGAAAAACAGGGAAATTGTCATAGGTGGGTCTGATCCAGTCAGGTGAACTGTTTAAAAGAAACTAAAGCATCAGAGAGATGTGCTCCAGCTAGCCTCACACACAAAGCAAACTGCTATGTTGTGAGATAAGGGGGTCACATGACAAGAACCCTTCTAGGAGCACGGCCTCTAGGAGCTGCGAGTGGTGCCCACTGGCAGCTAGCAAGAAACTGGGGACCTCGAGCCTATAGCTCCAAGGAAATTAATTCCACCAACAACCAGTGAACTTAAGGAGGACTCCAGGTCACAGATGAGAGCACAACCCCTGCTGACAACTTGCTTTGTCTTGAGAGACCCAGAGCACAGAACCCAGCTAACCCGTACCCAGACTCCTGAGCCAAGACACTATGAGATAATAAATTGGTATCATTTTAAGCTGCCAAGCATGTGGTAATTTGTTATGCAGGACTATATAACTAATAAAATACATTAAAAATAATATCTTCCTTTCCTTTTGTTTCACTTCAAAAAAACCTAAGCAGATCATACAATTTTAACATAAGTATTTATATGAAAGGGTGGAAAGAACTGGAAGCCAACAGGACAATCAACAGCACTTATAATTACAACTTAGCTTGATACAGCTCTTCAGGCATGGCTAAATTAAAATTCTCTAATCCTCTTACAATTCTGGCATCAATGATAATGAGAACCCCGCAGTACCTCTATCCTCCAGTGGGTTGCCAGCAAGGTTAATTGTGTGGAGTCCTGAGTTGGGATTATGCGCTAGAGCACTGGCCAGTTTTTGTGCAAAATCTCTGCATGTAAACAAAACAATAAGATTAAGCAACAAAATGTAAAATGTAAAACCAAATGTAAAACCATTCGAATGGAACATTTAAAGCTTAGAACAGAGTGAAATCTAAATAGAGAAACTTCCCTTACAATATTAGTCTATATAGCATATATTTCTTAATACCCATTAATACCTCATTAGAGAATTTGTAAAGCCACAGCCAGAAAATGGTTCATTCTGACTGGCCAAAAGCGAAAAGAAAATACATAATTGCCCCTTTAAAGGCACTCTGTTGTATGCTATTAATAGTACTTTCTGGCCCCTCCATAATTAAAAAAAAAAAAAAATCCTGGATCGAACCTGCTTTTCATGAAAATTATAGTATTTACCATATCTTATTTCTCATTTCATGCAACTGTGAATGCAAAACTGATTACACTAATTATTAAGTTTAAAGGTTACAATTGCTAGCGCTACATTTTGGCAAAAATTAAAACCATTGTTTTAGTTATGTTTAACTTGAAATAATGTACTAAGTGCTATGATTATGAAACTGTCAACCATCCTCACTTAGCAGCAGTGAAATCTTTATTCTACTAGATTCTAACTCTTATGCTCTTAACAGTAGGCTTAGGTAGTGACTACTAAACCACTAGATAAAGACTATGCAAGCATTAACCTGAGAAAGAAAAAAATGACTAAAACTGATCAAAGCAAAGCAGTAAAGTCATATGAAATACGTTATCACTATGACCACGAGTAATGATAATAAAACCTACATATACCATCTACAGAGTAAAAGGCACTTTGTCAAATACTTTACATATATTAATTCATTTACCCTCGCAATTTTAATTGTATAAAATAGGCATTATTATTATCCCCATTTTAAGAGTGAAGAGAATGAGGCACAGAAAGCTTAAGCAACTTCTGTAAGGCCATGAGAAGTCTGGCTCAAGGATCCATGCTCTTAAAAATGATACTACGTACTCGCAAAAATATCAAGTGACACAGTATCAAGAGATGTTACCAAATTATTAGGCTTCATGATGATGGGAATTATACGGATTTCTTTTTTCCAGAAGGAAAAACATTGCTGTATATGTGATCAGCCCAATTTAAAAAACAAAAAACAAAAAAACAAAAAACAAAAAAAAAACTATGAATTAATTAGAAGAGCAAATGGCACAGAGTTTTAAAACAACATATTTATAGATTCAGGAAAATACTCACGTTCTAAGTCCAGCATTTTCCAACACCAATTCTTCCAGTCGATTGGACCTACTCACCACCCTCAAGATCTGTTCACAGACATCAGTGGACTGTAACAGAAAACATTCTTTGACTACTCCATAACTCTAAAGAAGAAAAACTTTATTGTTATAAATCTATGCAATGCAAAGTTTTAATTAAGTAAAACATCACTCATTCAACAAACCTTGAATGAGCATCTTCCACTATGCACCATCGTGATGAAGATCCTGGAAACACAATGTTATAAAGGAGAAAGTCCCTGCCTTCAAGAGTGTGCCATCCAGCAGGGTAAACAGACAAGAAGAACACTATGGTCAGAGTTTGTGTCCCCCCTCCCAAAATTCATAGTTAAAAACCTAATCCCCACTGTGATAGCGTTAGCAATTAGGTGCCTTTGGGAACTGACTAGGTCATGGTGGTGGGGCCTTCATGAAGGAATTAGTGCTTTCATAGAAGAGGCCCCAGAGAGCTACCTTGCCCCTTCCACCTAGTAAAGACACAGCTAAAAGGCACCACCTGTGAACAACAAAGTGTGCTCTCACTAGACACCAAGTCTACTGGAGCCTTGATCTTGGACTTCTCTGCCTCCAGAACTGGGAAATAAACCTGTTGTTTATAAGCTACCTAATGTATGGTATTTTGTTATAGCAACCTGAATGAAATAAGATAAAAATATACAATTATGATAAAATAATAAAAAGACCATTTTGGTAGGGCTATGCATACATATAAGTGCACCTAATCCAGGTTCACAAAATCAAGAGGACTTCCCAAAGAAGGTGACGTTCAAAATGGAGAACTGAAGACTAAATGTTAGTGATGATGATAATGATGTTGAAAATATCTTTGCTGAGTTCTCACCATGTGTCAGGCACTGAGTTAAGTCCTCTATGTGTATTTCATTATAAAACCATTAAAGATTATTATTCCATTTTCATAGATAAGAAAATTAAGGTTTAAAGATGTCATAAACTTAAACAGGAAGGCTAAATAAGTACTTGATGAATGCTAGCTGGTATTAGGATGTTCCTACTGGAATGTGAATAGGATAAAATGGGAAACAACCTAATAATACGAAAAAGTTTAATAAATAATAATCTCATGTTAATAAACATGTTTTCAAAACAACCATTATATAGTTGTATAACTATTATGCCTATATGTTAAACAAGATTACAACAATTAAAATGAGTAATATATAACAACATTTTGAGGGGACTATGAAAAATGAAGAGTTGTGCCCTGGTGGTAGAATTGTGCATATTTTAAAAAAATATTTATTAATGTTTTTATATTTATAACCTGCCTCATTCCAAAACTAATTTAAAGTGGTTCTTGACCTTAATATTACTTATACATTAAAAAGTCATTTTGGCTCATGTCTGTAATCCCAGAACTTTGGGAAACTGAAGAAGGCAGATTACTTGAGCCCAAGAGTTCAAGACTAGCTTTGGGAACATGGTGAAATTTCATGTCTACAAAATATACAAAAAGTAGCCGGGTGCGTCCCAGACTGCACGCGCCTGCAGTCCCAGCTACTCAGGAGACTAAGGTGGGAGGATCGCTTGAGCCCAAGATGTTGAGGCTGCAGTGAGCCGTCATCGCACCACTGCATCCCAGCCTGGGTCACAGAGTGAGACCCTGTTTCACACGTGCACACACACACATACACACACACACAAAGTGATTTTAAAATTCTCCTTGCAACCTAGCGTGTACTAAATACTTCATGATATTAAAAAAGAAAGAGTGAGAGAAAGAAGGCATGTTCTGTGTGCCATAGCATACAATATCAAAGCACTTTCTTTTCATAAAATATCACATAAAAATATTACAGTACTTTGACTTATCATATAACAAATACCCAACTGGATTAATCATAACTGGAACACAGTCTGAAGGTGGCACAAGTTCTCTAGTCAAGTATTTTTAAGAAAACCTAACTTAGAAACACCCCAAGTCCCATAGCATGTAAGGCTCTCATAATTCTTATTTGTTGTTTGATTCCATTCTGTCAATAATGCCACTTTCACACTATTCCTGGGTTTCCAATGTGTCCCACTGATTAAGGAAGAAAGAGAAAAATTAATTCCAATTGACCTGATGCCTGCAATTTACATTATGCTGACAGTGATGATATTCAAAATGGTGACCCCCTTATCAGTACAATTCTTTATCTCACAATGTACATACAAGGGTCTTATTCTGTGCTGTCATGATAAAAAGTGACTACTTAGATAATGTTTTTGCGGATATTATCCTAATTACCAGAAATAATTCTTGGGATCATTACCATTTCTGGGCTACCTTGCAGTGCACCCAGAAAACTAATTTACCATAATGCTTTGAAGATTTACAGCCCATTGGGGTATAAATACCATAACACAAATTTATTAAGGAAAATGTATGAAAGTGTCTCCAACTTTTCTTTAAAATGCCAGTAGGGGAGATGTATAACAAATCATTCATGACTAAATTAATTCTACTAATTTTTATTGAGTGCCAGGTACATTAAAAGCATCATTTTCTACAGGGATGAATATAAGGAAATGAAACTTTTAAAGGGAGACACACTTAAACCTAGCTACTAAGTATAATGTGATAATTCCAGTAGTATTTTCCAAATGTCTACAGCATGTGCAGCACTATGTGCATCAATTTAGGAAATTTTTAAAAAACTGGATACAGTGACTCTCCAGGAGCTTGCATTCAGTTAAAAAATGAATGTAAACAACAAAAACTAGAATCACTATAGAGTAATAAATGAACTATTGTAAAATAAATTAATTTTTTAAAACTGGAACTTTAGAACTGAAAGAAACCATATACATTATCTCGTCCCACCATGTCATTCCCTAAAGACTAAAAAAAGATGCGATGATGCTCACCAATTTGCCTGAGCTGCAAAACAGAAGAAGCTGAGCAAGACTCCAATTCTACTATTTTTTTAATGAGTCAAGAATGTTGGCCAAAAACATGGTCCTAATTGCATATTCAGTACCATTTTTTAAAAAAATCCTTGACTCAAATTAGAAATACTGATTGCTAATTTGCTTCATAAGATCAACATAAAGTCATATTTTTCTTGTGGCACCTTAGCACAGGAGGCTTTTATGGGACTAGTAACAATCTTAACCCAGAGAGCTCATATAACTTGAGAAGCAGTCACTTATTTTTGCCCTTGCACTTCATGTTTACAAAAATCCAAAGACGTGCTTCTTCATATTGTCCTTTTCTTTGAATAAACCCAATGTTACACAGTGCTCCGAGACTGCCCACTTCAGTACCCATCAAAAGAGAAAGTATCATTTCAACTTTGGGTAAAAAAATGAAGAATTTAGTATTCTTTTTGAAGACCTGTAGAGTAATATCCACAAAGATCACTTCATTTTAAAATACCAAATATTAAAAATATATGCAACCTGTATTTTTGTGTTTAAATCTCAGTTAATAGAAAAGCAGCATGAGCAGTCCTCACATCCTGTCACTCCACTTCCTTCCATCCCAGGACACCCAAGAAAGCATAATAGCATTTACCTGCTTTGTTTTGCCAGGACTGAAATGATTAGGTGCATATTTTATGTCCTAAACATCTAAGGCAGCTGAAAGGAGATGATACCTGGGAGGAATAATGACAGAATGGCAGCAACAATTGCCTGGACACCTTCCTGTAATTGCAGGTTGGGACAATCTCCAAAAGTGAGATATCCACAACCTTCCTGAAACCCTCTTGAGGCCCCATTTTGAAATTCACAAGCTTATGTAAATGATTGAATGAGCCAGAAAAACTGACATGGTAGCAAACCACTGTTCTCTCTGATCCCACAACCCCTGGACTAATCCCCTTCTCATTCCTCCAATGGCTCCCCTTTCCCACCTGTACTCTTTGCTGGCTCAGGCCTGGAAATGGTCCCATCCCAGCAAGCAGCAAACAAGGGACATCTATTCTTAGGTCTGCCATCATGGCTACCTGTCTGCTCCCTGAGGGCTCACCTGGCTCCAACTCATGCCAACCCTCACTCCATCATCACTGCTCAGACACAACTCTTGTTTGAATTATATAGTTCACATAATTCATACTCTCATATATGTTCATTTCTCAATCTCTTTGATAACTTATTAGACATATACTTATTAAACCAATTTTTATTAAATAGTTACTATGAGTCACACACTCTCATAAGTACTGGATAGAGATGAGTAAGAAATGGTTCCAACTAGCTCACAATAACAGGTATGCAGGAAGCTGAGGCCCTGGAAGGTCAGGTAAGTTATCTAAGGTAACACAGCCTTATAATAAAAATCAGAATCTGAAATCCAGGTTTCTCATTCCAAGTCCAAGCATTTTCCTCTACCATATTGGCTCTTAAGGGACCCCAAATGAGTTTAGTCCATTTTCATACATACAATGTTTTAGGCCACCCCTACCCCAAGCAAATTCAGAGAACCAAGTCGCCTGCCCACTAGCCAGTCTCAACCCTCCATTTCCTACAGATCCATGTCTTACTACAAGTCTGATGTATTCACTATGAAAATCTTAAACCCCCAGATCCTATGACCTCTGAAAGTTAGAGACTTAAACATGAGAGTCTCCAGGAAAACATACAAATACTTTCTTATCCCATAACAAACACCAGAGAGTTAATTTATGGATAAGCATCCATCCATATGACTGATATGAACTGGCAACAACCCCAAGACAGCATCTTATTTCCACTAATAAAATACACCAAATATTTTTCTCCTTCGTACCTTATGAAAACAGATTTCACTTTAATTTAATTTTGCTTTCATATAAATCTACCCAAAACCCATCTAGAAAATCAACATTAACTATCATTACTCGACCAGGGGAACTCTACCTGCTAATATTTTCCTAAATTCTTAGGAAGGGAAACTTTGTAGACACAGAGTGTAAGATAGGAATATAAAATCTGCTATTTGCAGCTGTGCAAACGTAACTTTAACAGTTTTTGTCAACTGAATGGTTTGTACTAAAGGCTACACTAAATGTATCTTTTTGTTCATCTTCTTAAATTGCCTGAAATAGCTGAATATATGAGGAAATACTTGGAAGCATCTCACATCACAAATTTTACTAAACGTTATGCAAATCATTTAAAGGAAAATATCTCCTCAAGAAATAAAATGTATATAGTTTACCAGTACAGTAAAATTTTTTTTTTTTTTTTACAATTATTGGGTTTTTGAAATTCAGCAAAGCCAAGCAACATTTGCTGCATGTTTGATTACTTACCAGTTTTAGATCCTTAGAGGACAGCTTTGTGAACCACTGATTATATTCCAGAGCAGCAATGATAGGTATTAAGTCCCTGGAAACAGAAACAAAGTACATGAAAGTGCTCCTACAGTAGCTACACTGACACTTAATTTTTAATCCATGACATCCAAGTTCACCTGTTAATTTCTATTGTTCACAGATACATCTAGTAGGCCATGAGACAACAACTAAGTTCTCAAAGACTGATCTTCAAAGTTCCCAAAAGTTAAAGTAAATTGTCTCCAGGGACTCTTTCCTACTTGCAAAGGAAAAGAGACTGGTATCAGAATTTGCTGGAAGAACCTCCTTGCTCTGAGAGATATCATACCTCTAAGTCCATATCAATAACAAGTCTTACTTCTTTAGACCTCTCCTTCATAAAATCTTTTTTTTTTTTTTAAGACAGGGTCTCACTTTGTCACCCAAGGTGGAGTGCAGTGACATGGATCATGGCTCACTGCAGCCTTGACTTCCCAAACTCAGGTGATTCTCCCACCTCAGCCTCTCAAGTAGCTGGGACTACAGGCACGTGCCCCCACGCCTGGCTAATTTTTGTACAGATGGAGTTTCCCCATGTTTCTCAGGCTAGTCTCAAACTCTTGGGCTCAAAGCAATCCACCCACTTTGGCCCTCACCCAAAGTGCTGGGATTACAGGTGTAAGCCACAGTGCCTGGCCTCCTTCATAAATTCTTTAACCATCAATTATCTCATATAGTATTCTCTAGTCAGAGGAGTTCATATTGCAAGCGAGATACTGCCTACCCTGACAGTAAGTGGCACTGGATGGATGCCCAATGCTTAGCAAGCATTTTGCAACCATTTGGTCTTTTTTTTAGTTCCTACTAGTGATTACATCCATAAGATAGCCCAGGTGCATTTTTGTCTTAGGCTTCATATCAGCTCTTCGACCACAGAGTGAAGCTATCTGCATGACAGTTCTGCCTCCATTCCAATTTTGCAGCCTAAGCTCCCACAACTCATCCCATGCTCAAGACAAAAAGCTGACAACTCATTACTCATCTAATATGATGTGCAATTTCACATTCAGAATAATCTTTTACTGCTCTGTTATGAAAATTTGTGTGTCCTTAAATGCCACTACTATCACACATCCTCACCTCCTTAAGTCCTCCCCTGGTCAAACCCCACCTCCCTTTTTAGCATTTATTCATTCTATCTTATATTATATTTTGTTGCTTTAAGCATCCTTACCACCCCCAATTATTAAGTTCTTTGAAAACCAAGCCTTTGTCTACTTCAGTTTTTTAGCTTTAGTGAGGTAATAGCAGTTTTATACTCAGTGCAGGACAAGTAGCAGATACTCAAATTTTTACTGAAATAGAAAAGAAAGGCAGAAGGTGGAAAGAGGTCTGAGAATTAATATTATCTCATCGCTCTGGGTGTCGGCCCTGTGCTTGGCACTCTACATAGGCCAGTTCGTTTAAATCTCAAAACAACCCCAGGAGTTACTGTTGTTTACATCTTACAGATGAAGGAACAGATGCTCAGAAAATAAAGTGAAACTAGGCCAAAGGGACAGAATTGCAGTCAGAACCCTGGCTCTGAAGCACCATGTGTCTGCAGTTTCAATCGACATGCTTTAAAAAGATGAGATGAGTGCCCACAGGTAGTAGAAAAAAAAAAAAATCCAGAGAAATAGGTAGGCTCAGTCATGTGTTTCCACATGCCAGGTTTTCTACTGACAAGCCTCTTTACTAACTTTGCCTAAGTTTAAATTTTTTTTTTAAGTTTTAGATTAAAAAGGAGAACAACACTTTCAATAGTTATTTTACGGTCTTCACTCGCCTCGTGCCCCTCCACTGACATGCTCTCTGGGCTCAGAACAAGGCCCTGTATCTCTCCCTGTTGCCTAATTACAGGTTGTAGCTTCTCTAACGGTGATTCCACCTTATTACAGAGTCCCCAAAGCCCACGCTGAGAGTTCTCATGTATATTTCAACATTCAGAACTACGGCAAAGCAGTCTCATCGCATCTTTTTTGTGGATTTAATGTCCAGGAGTGACCATACTTGGGAACGACTTTTTTGTGTAGTCTGTCACATGATCTGATTTGAAGTATAACTGGCTTTTGTCATAGATGAAGTCATTTTCAGGAATTGAAGGGCACATCATTTCACAGAATCATGAAGGCAGTGGGTAAAACAGCATCATCTCTACATACGACAATACTTAACACTAAAAATGCTTATTGTTCAATATTAAATTTTTAAGGTATACAGCATTCTAAAGTGTACATTTGTGTGATATAATCAAGAATTGGGATTAATAAAATCTACATATAAAAAAGATACAAATGCTAACAAATATAGACTTTTCTTAAGAAAGAAATACAACCAAACGTCATAAGGATACCGTGTTAGCATTAAAGGTGATATTAATTTCTTCTAACAAAATTATTATGTTTTAAAATTGCTCTATGATTCATATGCATAATCTATTTTACAAAATTAAATCGTCTATGGATGATATAAACAAAATTTTGCTCTAGAAAAAATTATTCATGAGGAGGATGGAGACTAAGTATATTGGCATGGTTTGCCTACCATGGTTCTCTAAATTGTGTTAATGCCTAGGCTTTTTATGCTAAAAAACAACTAGAAGGAGACAATCACATATTATATTCAGTAGATATTTATTTAGTCCTTAGTACTAGGCAGGGTTATTAGGCTCTGAGAGCTAAGAGATGAAAAAGAAGCATAGCTCTTATTCCTCTATCACACTCCAATGGTAAAGAAAAACTCCTACTCAACTATCTGTAATACAATAGGAGATGTGCTGAATAGGGAAAATGTTAAAAAACAAACAAACAAAAAGCCCTAAGAGCACAGTAGGACAGCAAGTAATTCAGCCTGAAGTAAATGGGGAATGGTTCACCGGCTTCAAAGATCAGAAGGAAACCAACCAGCCAGGGAGACAGAGTATTTTAAGAAATTAGGAATAGCATATACAATGGCATGGGAACCTGAGCATATCCAGCAATTCCATCCATTCTTATGTTCAACAAATGCCAGCCATCGTGCATGAATCACTGGGCCTGGTGCAGAAATGAACACAGAAAATGGTCCCTGCCCTGTAAGACTGATGGCCTGGCAGAGCCTAGCAGGAGACTCAGGAAGGAAAAAGCAGCCATAATACAGTGAAACAAGCCCTAGTGAGGTAGGGGGAATACAAAATACTATGTGTGCAAATAAAAGGGGTGCTAATCAAGACAACCAAGTTGAGAAAGAGGATGTTACTGAGCCCTCAGAGTGGGATGAGACACATATTCTAAGCAGAAGAAATGGGCAACAAAGTCAGGTATGGCTTAGTCTAAGAGTTTTTAGAGCTCCGAAAAGCACAATATGAAAATAAAAAAAACTGATAAACTGGACTTTATTCAACATTAAAAACTTCTGCTCTATAAAAGATGTTAAAAGAAGAAAAAGATAAGCCACATGCTGACAGAAACTATTTACAAATCCCATTTCTGAAAAAAGAATTGCATCCAAAATGCATAAAGAACTATCAAAAATAAAAAACAATTACCTCAGTTTTTTTAAACGGGCAGAAGATCTAAACAGACACTTCACTAAGTAAGATATATATACAGCAAATAAGCATATGAATGGATGCTCACAGTTTTTAGCCATTAGAAAAATGCATTAAGGAAAAACCAAAAAGTGATGCACGGTTTAAAAAAGAGAAAAAAAAGTTTTTAAAAAACCTGACAATACCAGTTGCTAATAAGGACCCAGAGCAACTGGAACTCTCAAATGTGGCCGATGAGGATGCAAAATGATACACTCAATGAAGAAAACAGTTTGACAGCATCTTATTTAGGTTTAACAGATATTTGACATCTGATCCAGCAATCCCATTTCTAGGAAATTACCCAAGGAAAATCAAAATTTATGTTCACATAAAAATGTAGACAATTATTTATTTTTAAGAGCTATGTTCATAATTACCAGAAACTAAGAACAATACGGATGTCCTTCAAACTACAGGACTGTCAAGGCTAGATTAGAAGAGGTAATAATACAGCTCTATCCAGCTCCCTCTCATGGCAAGCTCACCCATGGAATGCAGCGCTGCCTTGCAGCAGACAGCCAGCATCGAGCACCAAACACGTGAATGAGGAACGCTTCATTGTGATTCCTGACTGTTCTTGCTGTGGCCATTAAGTTTGAGGGGCTTTGTTACATAGCAATAGATAACCAGAACACTTAGCACCTAGAAATGAGGCTTGAAAGCTACAGTTAGGAGGCTTGACTGCATGCATGCAAGGCAGTCATAGAAAACTTTTGAACAGAAATGTTTCAGAAAGTTAATTTCTGCAACATCAGTGGGAGTTATCAGAGGCAAGGTAACAGTCTCCACAATGCAGACATGATGTATCAGAGATATAGCAGGAGTCTAAGGCAGAAGGTGGGTGTGGGTTCAGAGGCTAGAACAAGGACCAAGGCAAAATAGTAATTTTTTCCAAATTGATTTATAGATGCAAGTAATGTAATGCCAATCAAAATAGGTATACTTTTGTGATAAAACTATAAAGGAACACAAAGATTACCGGAACCATTATTATAACTGGGCAGGGCAGGTGAAGAAGGAGGGAACCGTGATTGAAAATTGATATATGTAAGTCTTTTAAGGAGAGGTAGTAGCCTATTTCTTGCGTTAAATGGTGGACATAGTAGTTAAATTTACAAAGATTTCCATCTTGGTATATATCTGCATACTTTTCTGTAAGGAGACAAGTACAAGGATGGCCTTAACAGCATTACAGATAACAGACAATACACTAACCAAAATGTCTGACAAACATTCAGCAGAATGGATAAATTATGGAATGTTCATACATTAGAATACAAAACAGAAACAAAAGTTAATACATTATAGCTACACATACCAACATGTAAAACCTCAATTTCTTAGATACTTAATACCTCTCAGCCTGGCCGCAACATGCTGAGAATGAGGAGCCTACAGTGTAAGACCAAGTGCTCAGGAAGTACTTCAGCAAACGCTTTATGTAAGAGGCAAGGTCTAGT